CTGCAGCTGCGGATCCTTTCGTCTTTCACAAGGAAAGGACTGTCTTCGGAGGTGAGTGTTGTCGAGAAGCTTGTTGTCCTTAGCGGGGAATCGATCCAACCTGTGAAATTTGGGAGAGGGGAATGAACAGTGCTACCTGCCTTTGCTCGAACTCGCTCATTGGCATCCTCCCTATGTTCATGAAATACGTAATCATAATCAAATCCATAAAAATAAATTTGTAAATGGGACAATAGTAACTTTAGTAAGCTCAAGCGACCAGTGGCCGACGTGAAAAGATCATGAAAGCTCAAAATTCAGCCATATCTACGAACATGTCGTAAACTCAAGTTGTCAGCACCTTATCAGTCCATCAACTTTGATTTCTACTTGCCACTTGAAGGAGCAAAGATTATGCTACTGTCACCAACTTGTTGGGTGAGGACATGATCAAGCCAATGCTAAGGCTAAAACCTGGCTCATAGTTTTAGACTGCTCACTATCCGCCTAGCACCTATAATGCCATCTCAGGAATGCTCTCAAACACCGAATTCGGAAAAGAGAAGCTCGTTTAGATCCTTCACCCAGCTCCCCTCCCCCCTCTCCTACTCCTCCCCCGCCCCCCCCCCCCCCCCCACTAAAGTGTAGCGGAGCGTTAGGACATGCCCATGTTATAATCTTTGTGGACTAACAGCGCTTCGACACGTTCAAGTGATGTAATCTATCGGAAACTTATCTTTAACGGTGTGGGTCTTTTTGTGCGCTAATGAGATGACGTCAGAAATGCTGAAGTTAAGGAGATAGTGAGCAGTTCTTGAAGCCAAAGAGTTCGTTTCGAGCGAAGTTACGACTTTTTCAGCCGATGCCAAATTCTAAAGTACTCACAAAAACAATATCCCACCCCTTCCCCCCGCCCACCCCTGCAACATCGTGGCCGAAATGCTGCAGTCGAGCATTCGTGAACAATGCAATATAAAATTGATAAACCGAAATCGAAGTTTCAAAAGCAAGTAAGACCCTATTGCTCATTGCCAAAATTGTCTAGTGTTTGTGGATTTATCGACTTGGAGAAGTGTACGGTGTGGCAAACTTAGCACCCCATGCTAACCTCGTCATCCGGGCAGTTGATTAGGGCGGTCGTCAACGGGCCGCAGCGCGTGCCAGGAACTATTTGCTTTTCCAGGCTAATTTAGTCATTTTTTCCACCTTGTGAAGATAAGGAGCTGCTAATCTGGGAAAAGTAGCCAAAACAGTGAAAAGTTCGGAAAAAATACTGATTAGCTGGGGAAAAGCAAATACGTTCCTGGCAGCGCTGCGGCCCTGTTGACGACCGCCTAATCAACGGGCAGGGATGACTAGGGTACGCATACGTCCGGGGATCAAGTCCCGGATCAGCTCCCACCCAGGTCAACCAAGCCCTTCTAGCCTCTGGGGCGGAAAATTGAAACCAGGTTTGCTGGGAGAGTGAGAACACTGTCTTTTAGCTGGCCCCCCGCAAGTCATTCTATAGGGCCACTTCGCATGAATAAGTCACTATTTGAGTTGCATTGCTGAATAGAAGTAGGAAGTAAAGTAATGTCGCATTCCAAAAAGGAATATCATTGAAAGTAAAGATGTTTATCATTTTATCCTTAGGTTGTTCGGGGAAGAGTTACAAGGTTTCCGATGCTGGATTATTCCTCTTTGGACGTGCACTCATTTCTGTTTCCCTTCGGAATCGTAGTTCTCAGTGTAGTGTGAACCTATTCAGTGACCCTGAGGAGGGGAGAAGGATGGGTGTTAATACCCTCTCAGACTCTGGTACCAATTTACCTTCAGAGATAGAAAAATTGGGGGGTTTTTTGGTTTGCCTGGACGGGAAGCCGATCTTGGTGCGTGCATGGCCGTTCTTAAGTTGGTGGAGCGATTTGTTGGTTTTATTACTAAAACGACGCAAAATCCCTTAGGATGACCATAGAAAATAAGTGACTGGTATTTTTTACGTCCAGTCTACTTCTTAGAGGGATAAGCGGTGTTTAGCCGCACGAGATTGAGCGATCTGTGATGCCCTTAGATGACTGGGCAGTTTAAAAAAGTGGGCGGAGTTTCCCACAAGCGGACCTAATGACACACTTCGCTTAGGCTTAGGCTTAAATTTGCTTAGGCTTAGGCTTAGCTCAAAGGGGCGGAGTTTTCCAATTTCTGAAAAAACGATCTAACTTTAAAAAAAACAGAAAATCGAAATTTTTTTCAAAAAATACAAGATTTTGGAGTGGGCGGAGCTTTTCACCGAGGGGGCGGGGCCTGTATTGGGCTATTCTGTCTTCAACGGACCTTGGGAGCCACTTTGCATTAAAGTTCCTCAATCGGACCTAACGACACACTTTGGACGAGTTTTCCGTCTCTTGGGGCAGTGGACGAGTTGTCCGCCTTTCGGGACGAGTTTTCCGTTTCTCGGGGCAGTGGCTACGATAAGAGGTTATCCGTCTACGTGGACGAGATTCCCCGTACCTTCAAGAGCGAAAAAGGCGAAAAAATCGCGAAAAAATCACTAAGAAATCACGAAAAAAACCGGCATGGAGTCCCCTGTTAGGGACGATGTTGTTTTTTTTTTGCTCAAAAGGGCATTATGATGCCCTTCGAGCAAAAATAGCAAAAATCCCTTTGCTTTCCGGCAGAGGTGCCGAAAAGCAAAAGTACCGGCCCTTTTCAGGGGGCCAGTGGGGATGAGGCGTTTTAAAAAAAACTATTAAATGATATTGACCCTCGGATACCGCACGCTGGGTAAGCAGCTACTTTTGCCATAACTTCACCTCATCACATATGAAAGTAACCAGAATAAGCCAAAGTCGTTTTAGCAATAAACCCGGCTTTTAGTAAGAATCGGGGTGGTAACGAGATAGGAAAAAGTGGAAGCTCATTACAAATTCTGCCGTGAGCCTTTAGCTGGTGTAAAAATATCTCATACTATTTAAATAAGTGTGAAGAAGACTAGCTGCATTCAGAATTCTATCCGGGATTGGCTATCTCTGTCGTGATGATGGCCGTCGTCACGTATACTGCTTATGTATTAGGGCTCAGTTGGAATATTCTGTTGAATACATGGCCAGAGTATCGAGAACATTGCCGGAAACCATACCCTGAAATCGGGTACCGCGCTATGGGCAGAATCGTCAAGTAAGTTTAGCTTTCATTCATGACTAATATCCGGAGAAATACCAGGGCATATCGTTGTTGGGGAATCCCTAACAGGGGGTCGCATTTGGTTCGCCGGTTGAGAAGGTGGGAGTCGAATTGCGGCTGAGAAAATTTTCTTTTTTGAAAATTGATTTTTCCCGCTTCAGCTGTAAGGAGGGAGGGTTGCGTACTTGCTCATCGTTGGGGGGGAAGGGGTTCGTATTTACTCTCTTGACGCTTTCTTAGAAGTGCTAGAGTGGTACTGACTTTTCGTAATTTTTTCTGCTTCGTATGTACTATATAACCCCTCCACCCCGGCTCGACGGGTCGATCCGATGAGGAGGAGCTCGACGTAGTGCCGAACCGGAGGTGAGGGGGGGGGGGGAAGGTCGTTAGCCAAACCCAAAAAACTGTGTGGGGGGGGGGTGTCGATACGGGACTTGACCTCCAAAATTCCCAACCAATTATGTGCCCTGACAAATACCTACAATGCATATGTCAAGCTCCCTTTCTTTGGTCATTTCAGTACGGTAGAGTGAAAACATCCCACCAGGCCATTTGTACTGCACAAAAGGGCCCTGTGATGCTGCCTCGCGGATATCACAAGAGTAAGAAAAAATTCCGTGACAAAAGGAAAGCATCATGTTGCCACAGGTTATGGGTGAAAACAGCTGATTCGGCCGTGAATAATTGCCTGACCCTTTAGGAAAGGCGTATGCAGCGTCACATTTTCGCAAAAATTTGCCGCGTGTGGCAAGGTGATGAGTAGATGCGTTTTCCTACCAGTAGTGACCGATTTTTCTGGAAGAAAACAAAATTGAGGGTAGAAACATCCGGCCGGGCGCAAAGGTTCTCTCCCTTCCTGACACCGTTCCGACTGATTGGTATTAACTAGATCTACTTACCCACCCACTTATGCCCAGCTGCCCACCTATTAGGTTGTCCGGAAAGTTCTCAGCGTTTTGTGCACCTATTTTTTGTACATTCACTGCTGATTAAAAACTCATTCTGCCTTGCTTCTCAGTAGCACATCCTGTAGAGAATTTCTTGCGCTATCTGATGGTATAATTGCCGTTCACCATTGCTTGATAGACCCCCCCCTTTTTTCAAGATTTTTTTCAAGCATGTGAAAAGAGCACTTTGGACGATTTTTTCTTCGACTATAAATTGGGGCAATCCGCAATCGAAACAGCTCAACAAAATTAACCAGCATGTGGGGCTAACAGGTGCTAGAGAAAAGCACTGTGCGCAATGGGCTCAAACAAATTTTCAGTTCTGAGAGACCAGTTGAGTATGAACCTCAATAGCGGATAGACCTAAAGCAATGTATCTGAGATGATTTTAGGGGGATTTATTGGAGGCTGACCCATCCAAACAGTTCGAGAGATAGCAGAAGAGCTAGGCCTTGGCAAATCCACTGTTGCAGATGGTCTGGAACGCATTGGGAAGGTGAAAAAACTCGACAATTGGGTGCCCCACAATCGGAGTGACCGGCAGGAATCGGCACGTCTCGAGGTTCCTTCTGCATTGCTTTTGCGCAGCAGAAACGACCTGTTTTTGACCGAATTGTCACCTGTGATGAAAAATGGATCATGTATGATAACAAAGAGGTTCTGGACAGCGGTTGGATTCTGACGAACAACCGAGGTAATTTTTCAAAGCCGAACCCTCACGAAAAAAGATTCTGGTCACGGCTTGGTGGTCATCGGCTGGTGTGATCCACTATAACTTTTTATCACCAGGCCAAACCATCACAGCAGAACCCTACTGTGAAGAAATCGACGAATTGTACCGAAAATTTTGTCAGATGCAGCCAACACTTATCAAAAGAAAGGGTCCGATTCTTTTGCATGACAACGCCCGCCCACACGTTTCACAAATCACTATCCATAAATTGAACGAATTGGGGTTGAAGTTCTACCTCACCGCCATATTCTCCAGACCTTTCACCAACCGACTATCACCTTTTCAAACATTTTCAGAACTTCCTTGCTGAAAAATACTTCATCAATTAGGACCAGGCAAAAAAGACCTTCGTAGATTTCGTGGATTCTCGACCACCCAGTTTTTTCTTTTGTGAGGATTTCTCGACTGCTGTCACATTGGCAAAAGTGTGCTGATTCGAATGGTGCCTATTTCGATTAAATCCGATGAGTATTAAAAAAGTTACGATCGTTTAAAGTGAAACACCCAAAACGCTGAGAACTTTCCGGACAACCTAATATTAGGTTGTCCCAAAAGTTCTGGGACACTTTCAGACTTTTTTCCGAATTAAGTTTATTCCAGTGGGAAGCAATTTTGATCAGCTATATATATGTCACCTTCATTGGCAACTTGTTGCCAATCACTACGCAATGTGTGGTTGCCCTGCTTCCAGAAGCCTCTTAGTTCTGTGCCCAGAAAGGCAGCTGGGTCATTTTTGAGGTACTATCAAAAATCGTATTTTTTTACCAAGAAGATGGCCGCTGTGGGATTAGTTTAGATGGCGATCGGAAAGAGCTAAGTCAGGGCTACACGAAGACTGTGGTGGAATTCCCCAGCTAAGCTTCGGGATCTCGAGCAGTGTCGTTTTCCAAATGTGTGACCCTGAGCTGTGGTGGAGTAGGCAAACATTGCTCGGTTTTGGGACCAAATGGTAGAGATTTTCCACCCCACTTTGCAGTTGATTACAATAGGGCTCCCTGGTTACCATAGCGTTGGAAGGAGGGAATTCCGTTTCGAGAGCGGAGAAAGGTACCCCACCACATACACAGCCTCACCGCCCTACTGGATTGATAGGATTGCGCGATCGGTTCTGCCCTTTCTGGGGGATCTAGCCGCTGGCGCTCCCAGGAGTGATTCACCTAGAGGCACCCACTCCATATCCAGTTACAGTGCTGTTCAACCAGCCCGTACAGCGGAAGCGGGAGAGAAGTTGTAGACAGTACCCACATTGTAGACAGTACCCACATGTGCTCCCCTTGGAGTACTGGTCAACTCATGAGAAAAATTTTGATCGAACTTCATAACTTTTCTAAGGGAGCGAGGCCTTCTCTCATTTGTGCTTTGGGACCAGTCAGTGTAACAGGAATCACGATACGCAAGTTAAGATTTCGTCACGATATTGTTTCTTTTAACGCAAGGAACACAGATAGGATCCAAGCCCAAGGCACGCGTGGACCTCATTGTGAACGAAGCTTCTTTATCCACCGGCACTAGAGTCACTAAAGCGAAGCCAAATTGAGCATTCCCCACAAGCGCCGTACTGTGGAAACGTAACATCCAAGCATCACCTACAATAAGGGCAAATGACCGCTTATGGACTCGCAACCCGATATGCCTGCTTACGGTTAGAGATCATAATCGCGAGTGACCCGTGTCCGACAAATGACTTGAATTTATACAATTCACGTATATCCTTACATAATCAGAGGAACAGGCAGACTGCGAGGACGGTGCAAGAAGCTGTGGAAATATGACCTTACCCTCACAAACTTCCCAATAGACCACATAACTGGAACCTTCTCGAACTGGCCTGCACCCGGCACACAAACTCTGACTGCGAGATTCACCAAAAGGCCTTCCAGCAAACTTTTCTGGACCAACTCAACTATACCCCTACCACGCTTAAAGCCATGTGGGCGAAACCAATCTACAGACAAGTCACAACCCTCGAATTCCGCTCCGATAAATGCTCGCAACGTACACGTTTCTAGCGATACCTTGTTTCGTACTGCTACCTTAAGACAATCACTCCAATCTTGGTATAGCCCGTACGCTCGATACCTCCTGTCTTGCTAGCTCTCAAGAATCCTCCGATCATCCAACCGACCATGATCCAATGGTCGAAAGACATCCGTTTCCTTGTTATCGTTTGCCTTCTTTCAGACACACCTTCTAACACCAGGATTCTCAACAATCTTACAGACACTTTTCTGCACATGCCGCGGCTTCCACGCTTACTGTCTTTCTGGTTACTCGATTTTGCCTGCTCCATGCCTCCACAGAAATTACCAATAACAACTTCCTCCGGTCCACACGCATTTCTCGGATTACGCTTCATCATCGCAAACATTTTTCTTGCACAAGGGCGAAAATCACCTCTTAGAAAAGAACAATACGTGGCGCTCTGCTTCAGAATATATATTTTTTGACATGATTTGTCTGAGTTGCTTCTAAAGCCTCGCACCGCACGCGAGAACTTACACACACGAGGGCCCGCACGGCCGAAAAAGGAACAAGTGCTGAGCTTCTCATTTCATGCTTATGACTCCTTGGACACCGATCTCCTTGCCGCGCCTTCAGGGGAGTGCTAAAACCTTCTACCTCAGGTGGGCCAGTCCGTGACTCATATGTATTCACACTTCTGTGCAGTCGCTACTGTTATTGTCGCGCGCTGTGTTGGCGACTATGGACTATGTTCTGGTTATACGTGAGTATCATTCACATTGCATAGTTCATGGATGACAATCTACGAGCAAGTGCTAGTACCCCAAAGTCCGTTAGTTAAGTCTATCATTAGATAAGGCTGCGTTTATACTTTAGCAGCGTAGCGTAGCATAGCGCTTCCAGCGTACGCCAGCGGCAGTGCCGAGGGAGAGGATGCATATCGGTCTAGCGTTCCCAGCGTCACCAGCTATGGGAGAGCTGGAGGGTACAAAACACATCGATTGCGCGTCTCTCACGGCCACGTAGTCTCTACAATACACTCGATCTTGCTCGTCTCTTTACGGCCCATGATTCTACTAACCGTGCCACTGCAAACGCCAGACAAAACGGCTGCGTGAAACGCTGGGCTAAACGCATAGCGTTAACGCTTGGCTGGACGCTGGGAACGCCTAGATCGCTATGCATCCTGCTCCCGCGTGCCGCTGGGTACGCTGGAAGACGCTACGTATAACGCAGCTAAGTCCGGGGCGATCGTCGCGATCGCCTGACTTCTGTGCGCCAACACTAGCGAAGCTGGCAATATTTTTGAGAATCTTGGTTCGGAAAGGAGTTCCCGAAAAGATGTGACCAAGAGAAGAAATATTAGGTGGCAGATAATCAAGGAAATGATGAGAAACTAGATGACAGAAGCCCAGAGAAATGTAGACGTGTGAAGGTTTTAAAGGAGGAAGTTTCCAGAAGTACTCCAGAAAATACTTGAGAAATAAGAAAGTGTGGCTCTGATTAGTCCGAAGAAATTCTGGGTGAAGGAAAGTGTGGATCCATCCCGACAGAGTGGTTTAGAGTTCAATAGGGTGCTTCTACTCTGCGATTGTCCCAGTCTAGGTAAAGTGTCTCAAAGTAGAAGCATTACTCATCGTATTTTTATTTGACTTTTGCACTATTTGCCCCTTCACGGCCCAATTCTCCTAGGAACAGCGCAGTTTTTTGACCGACTTTTTCTGCGTGGCAAAATTAGGCTAAAATTTGTTCTCTGCGGTAGTTGACTCTTGAACATGAATATCACATCGCTTGACACAAACCTCCGCGCCTATCGCATGGCGCCAAAATACCCCAAGATCACCGGCGCCTGTGGCGCGGGCGCCAGGAAGTTTCGGGCCAAGCGAATGTGATATTCGTATTCTGGAGGTCAAACTACCCCAGGAGACAACATTGAGCCAAACCTGTCTGCCAAATCTGAGGGAAACAGTTGGTAAAAACTGGGCTCAATCTGGACTGGTTGGGGGGCAATTATAAGGTAAATAGTGCCTTGACATTTTCTATATTTGTAAGACCAACAGAGTCACTCTGAGATCAGTCCACATCAGTTTCTCACTCACAGTTGTCTTCACAGTTAATAGAACTAAAACTCTCATTCCCTGGTTTTTCGTCGCAAGGACACTACTCTTTGTTGTTTGGTGCAATTTTCTGCTATGCAATCCCTCACCAGTTCTCCATCATTCATACAACCTTTTACTGTTCCTGTTTGCTATCACATCTGCTTAGTATGCTTCTTCAAAACCTGCTTTCGCGAAAATTAATGCATTAGGTCATCTCTAGTGTCCTAAGGTGCGCGCGCGCGGTTATCGCGACGTCGCGCGACCTTATCTAATGGCGGACTTGTCTACCGGACTTTAGGGTAAAACAGCATTTTCTGAATCTCATTACATGTTTTGCAGAGGCATGCCGGCGTATCATCCGAAGAACTTTTTCTTAGCCCTAGGCACACTGCTGTTCGCCTATGGTGGCCATTCCGCTTTTCCCACTATTCAGCATGATATGAAAAACCCTGCAGATTTCACAAAATCTGTTATCTTGGCTTTTACAAGTAAGTGTCAATCTTGCAGATAGCAGATTACCTAAGGCCTTTGCGTAAGGGTAGTTACTCTCCAGTTATGCTATCAGACCTTGGCACCTAGTATCTTAGAGATTCCCAGCTCTGGGGAGGGGAGGAGTCATAACTGGTAATCGGAAGACTGTAGGAAAGGCTAAGAAGAGAAAGCGTTCTTTCCTAACTTTCATTGGCGATCCCGTTCATGGCGCGTTTACCCCCACCTTCCTAGATTGAAATGGGGAAAAGTGCTAGAAAATCGGGAGATTTTAGGGAGATGGTTGGTAGGATGGTGATTTGAACGGGGGTCAAATTTTGTGAAGTTTTCCCCCCAAACCCAGGACCTGCCCTGTATCAAGAATGTCCGGTCCTCGTCGCGATTTGAGAAAGGAAATTCTATGGGGAGGGACTATTCGGAGCCTCGGTCCGAACATCGCTCCTCTCATGCCTTTTCACGGTCCCAAAACCTCCAGAATGAGGAAGGAGAAGCAAGAAAGACGCTTGACTTACGAAAGTAGCAATAAAGTTGCGCAGACTGATGAAGAAGGTGAAATTGTTGAGGTGTCCCTGGATAAGTAAAGCAACCCATCCTTCACTGTGACTTGAGAGGGTGGAGGCATACAGCGTCATCCAGCTCAAACAGGCCTTAGTACTACCATGAGCTCCACCTGACACTCATGGAACACACTTTCTTGCGGAACATCCCTGTCCCCCTGATTTTCCCTGAAAGTCGATCCGGTACCGGAAAAGGGCAAGTCGGTGTCAGGTTTCCCGGGTACACTTCAGTTCACTGCAAGTGATAGGGCGTGTCAGGGGTAGGAGATGCAAAGGAAGAGGCAGAAGATTCTTCGACCCCAGCCATTTCGCCTGTGACATGCCAAATCGTCCGCACCGGACAAGACAGCAAGATTTGCTGGTGCGTGCCAGGGTGTCTTCTTTTTTGTCCCTCCTCTGTAGCTCCGGGCAACATAAAAACCTTTTTTGCATTAGGCTTTTAGGGTAGGGCTAGTACTTCAAAATTAGGAATTAAGAATCACGGAGTCACGACCACCAAAATACATAATCTAGCTTTGATTTCCTCCCAGACCAACATTCCTTCTGATGACTTCCAAAACTTTAAAACTCTATCAGATACCCTGGTCTCTGAACCCAGTGCACAGTCGCAATAGCGCTGCTCCCCATTCTGATGGATCCACTGATGCTAAGCAATGCTCTTCTCCGGATCAGATAGTTCTCACCGGATTTCTTGGAAAGTATGGAACTGGGTGGACATATCTGCCGGCTTGTCATCGGAAGGGTCATTCAGATGGTCTATGGTGATAAATGGGAAATCTTGTGTGGAATACCCACAAATTTCTACCTTTGCTTTTCATTTTCTCATGTTATTTCTGACTTTTATTGACTCGTTTATTCGTTTTTATAGTCATGGGAATAATGTATGGTCCCGTGTGCATTATGACTTTTCTAACGTACCACGATTCTATAAGAGATTCCATTATCCCCTCTATTCAGGTAAGTCATTTTGTAGTAGTGTAGCCGGTTAGAGGCGTTTCTGCGTTCTTGCGCGGCGCCAGCCCGTTTCCGCCACTCGTCGCCACTATAGGGTTGGCAGCCGTCGATGGTGATAGGGTGGCGCCGCGCCAGACCATGGACATAGGGACGACGCTCCGATAAGCGCCGAATATTACCTTAATAAGAATCACTTAAAACAATGTGCTTATTGCAGACGACGTGGATTCAACAAGCGATCAATATACTGATTACTGTACATTGTATTTTCAATCCCCTGAATCAGGAACTCGAAGATCTCTTCCACTGCCCACAGCGTGAGTTTCCTACAGAGAAATGGCTCCGCGATGCTCATACAGTCTTGTTCGCTGCGAATGCTGGGGCGTGTCGGGGGAACAAGACCCCCGACGCGCCCGATGGGTTTGCTGGGCCAGCTAGTATTCCACCAATTGTGGCCGCCTGTCAGCTTGCAGAATTGGTGCAGAAAGTGTTGACACTACGCCAAAGCCCCAGCACCGCAGCAAACAAAACTGCAGACTTTTTTGCAGACTTTTGCTGGCAACGAGCTCTGATCCGAACGTGTACGATGCTAGGCGTTGCTTTCGTTGCTGAGAGCATTCCGAACTTTGGTCCACTGCTTGATCTCTTCGGTAAGATATATGTGTGGGGAGGTTCCACATTAGATCCTCCCCGAACGTCGAGCGTATTCGGGAGATGACCTCATGACCCACGGCATTTCAGGAGGTTCCACCCTCACGTTAACCTCAGTGATTCTGCCATGTTTGTTCTATCTCTACTTGAAATGCACGACTGCAAAAGGAAAAGTACGTTGGTAGTAAAGACGACAGTCCAGCAACCCTCAACGAGTACGTACATTCTTTACATTCTCATGAGCTTGATTTTAATCTTTTAATCCTCACACATGTTTGCCTTTCACGTAGGAGTATTTTACTTACTTGTGTGTGAAGAGCAGGTTACCCTCTTGCAAACGCCCAGTAGCTCGAATGCCCAGCGAGTAGATATAGTCGGTAGTGGAGCTCAAACAGGGATGTAAAATGCCAAGGAAACCAGGTAGAAAAAAATGTCGCCGGTGTCCGAATAACCCCTCCCCCTCCTACAGCGAGCATAGGGAAACGGTCAGGACAATCGTAAGTTGCCGCTCCGTTGCGCGCGGCTATGCGTGCGGCGTTTTCGTGTGGCGTCTTGATTGGAATACCGGATTCCAGTTAGGCTGCGACATCGTAGGCATCTGTTGCTGTTTTTTGTTGAATGTCGCCTTTTCCTCATCTGCGACCTGAAACCGTCGACATTTCTGGGCGCGACCTCGCACGCGACGCCCGCCAACGCGGCGAATTAGAGTGCCTTGTCACATATCCGCGAGCGTATTGGCTCGGGCAGGTGGAGAGCAGAGGGCGTGATTGGACGAGACTACCGGACAGTGGTGCTGTCGATATGGTCGCAGGGATTGATCACCACCTGATTTCTTACTGCATTCGTTCTCGATCATTGTGGCGTGGTCTTTTGTCATGGCTGTGGCCTGCCTGCAGAGAGTGCGGGAGAGCCAGAGTCAATGAAAAGTTGCTGGGGAGCTGGAGGTAAAGAACGGTATGGCTGTATCGATTGTGTGCTCCGCTAACGGCAGTAGTAGTGCAATCGCGTGCCACTGTGACCATGGCTACATGCCTGCCGCGCGCTAGAACACCGACTTACACTCGAAGGCACATTCCGCGATAAAATAAGGCTATGACCTCTCAAATGTGTCGGACGATCCGGAAGGCGATTTTTGAGGCTGCGCTACTTTCAAAATGTGAAAAACGGCAAGAACTAATTAGGCCCATGGACACCCCTTAGGCCCATGCCGACCCTCACCGGCTGCTAGCTACTAGCTAGTAGCCACTATGTTATCTTTCTCTATAACATTTCGGACTGCTTTTTCTGCTGCTTTTCTCATCAGCGATACTTAGCACTTTAGTGTGCCTATATTGATGTTCGTTCTCCGCAATTGCAGGTCGCCGAACTGCCGCCTTTAAGCTTTCCGTCTCACGCTAACTCCTTTGAGCCGGCTTGTGCTTAAAAAGAGTAGCGTAGAGGGAGGAAACTTGGGAATTGCGACTACCACATACTCCCCTCTTGCAAGTGTAGCTGTTCTGGAACGTACAGCAGCGGGTGGGCTCATTCCATCCCCACTAAAATAGCCTGACTTATTGCGTTCTGCATCGTATGTAATAGAGTTCGAGGTGCATCTGAAGATTCTACTTCTTCAATTTTTTCCTGTTCGCTTAGGAAACTTGACTAGTTAGGTGAAGATAACCACTCGAAATTGTAGTATCACTGTGTTTATTACAGAGTTTTCAAGTACAATCCTAAAACTACACTCGTCATCTGCATCGGCATAATAAGTAAGTCAAATCACTGCGTATGGTTAGGAATGGGGAGAGAGGGGAATTAGCTTCAATGATCTCAACACGATAAAGAGCTTTTAAAATTTGCTATTACAGTATTCGGCCTTATTGGCGGTGCAGCTGCCACGTTTTCTGCTATTGTCGAATTGACCACAACCAGTTTTCTGTTGCCGTGTTACGTCAGCCCATTCGTCCACAAGGTACAGTTCATATTTTCGCGTATTCTTGAGAATACTGACTGCGGCTCGGGTACAGCATCATTGTGTGAAACACACATCGGAAGACGTACTTTTTCGCCGGACATGGGGCGGGGGGGTCGTATGTGGCTTTGAGGATTTCCTATTTCATGTGTACTATATACCCTCCGTCCCCGCTCGCCCTCCGCCTCCGCTCCACAGCAGAATTTTTGGGGACAAGTAGGAAAATTTTTGAGAAATTCCGGGAAAAGTGCGAGGAAGTTATGAAAATCTGACAAATATTTCTGCTTCACACTGGCTATACCCCCTCCCCCCGACAAGGCTCTCCTTAAGGTGAGGGGGGTCTTACTGACACCAATCACGATGCTGTACCCTGTACCAACAACCCAGAATCTGTGAGGTATAGAGGCAGAGTTCAACAGCACCATAGAACAGCACCGGCTCTTACCTCATTTTAAAATCTGTTGTCTTATCTAATCCGACGACGATTTTCAGGTCATACCTCAACTCGCTTCACTTGTAAGTTAACTGTTTTAAAATTAGACAGGTCGTGACAGATTGAAACG